TTTTTTTTCATTTTTGATCACCACTTTCATCAAATAAAGGTTACCAAAAAATTGCGCAGTAGCACAAGAAAATTTGAAATTTAGGATGTACCAGCAAGCATGTCAGTGTTTTCATTTCATCCCTCAAAGAACTCTTCACTCACTCTTATTTGATGGTCAGCCTATAAGATCAAGCGTTTGGGTGGCGTAGGCGTTCATGGAGTGCTTATTACATAGGCACTTTCTTTATGAGGAATGTAGGCTGTTTCATGAAATGCAGGAAATACAATTAGTAAGGCAGGAAACTCATATGAGATCATGTTTGGTGAGATCCCTTACCTCCAATGCCTCATAAATCGTTAAGCATTATTAGCGGAAATAGAAACTATTAATTATTTTGTAGAATTAGCGCAGATTTGGCAAACTTCAAGCCACGAAAGCAATCTTGTTCAATATGAGAACTTTTGATGGAACAATTTTGCAAGAGACTACAAAGCCTTTCACCTAAAGCTTTTAGAAGACTCTACGAACTTTTAACAATGACAATGACCGAGCAGTATAATTTAGAAAATTATAAGAGTGATACGTCAAAGGATGCACACTGCTTTAAAATTATAATTTATATTTAAGTTGATTAATAATTAACGAATTGAAAATTTGTAGCCGATCTGCTCATCGCCGTATTTTGCATTCCATTTTCTTATTGGCAAGTGCTCATTTTCGACGATCAACGTTGGGTGTTCGGTTCTGCGATGTGTAGTCTTCTATCATTTCTTCAAGGCATCGCGGTGTTCCTCAGCTCTTGGACACTAGTGGTCATAAGGTAATTTCCCCAACTACGCCTTAATTTGCCGATAGACGTAAACAGACTTTAAGCCGCGAAATTTTTAGTTTTGATCGTTGGATGGCTATCATGTTTGTTATGTCTCCGAGTATGCGTCTTACCAGGAAGCGAGCAGTTTACCTAGTACTTTTTACATGGGCTTTCAGGTCAGTTCACTCTAAAATTGTTGCTGAATAGAGTACTAAATTCTTTTCTTTAAGCATTAGCATGGCGCTGCCGTTGTTTCTGGTCTCAAAAATAAAGACGACACGAGAAATAGAGCGATGCGATGAGGACTGGACCGCAGTCGAAGCGTTTATTCCAGGGGTAAGAAAGTTAATTGCTGATTCAAATTACGAGAGGCTAGCCATTTGCTTTAGGGACTTACAAAAATGGTTAAAAACACAAAAAATCTTGTCCTTAATTCCTCCTGCTTGTGCTTACGTTATTATAGAGCATACAATGTAGCACTTAGTGGGGGTAGCCTAAAAATGCAGACAGTTTTCGTGAAATTCAACGCGAAGCGCTGCACCTACTTGCCAGGCGCTTACACTCACATGCAATGAGAGCGATAAAATAATAACAGTAATTTATTTGTATATTGCTTTGGATGTTTTGAATATAAAAATGGCGATCACAAGCAATGAACTGCAAAGGCTGATCAGATGGTTGAAAAAAAAAACAGTGAAAAGCTGTTCTTAGGAGTTAAGGATGATTTCAACCAAACTGAGTCCTAAATAGAAAAAAACATTCACCATATACATTTTTAATAACCTGAAGACCCTCTTACGTTGTAATCAAGCTAAAGGAGTATTTGTTTTTTATGAAAGGAATCTTTTTTAGTGCTCCCTATGCTGTTTGAACGCACTACAGAGAAGGTATTTTGAGAAGATAGTTAGACTCAATAGTTTCCGAGAATTCCTAAGGCAAATTTAGCTAAGTCCACAATATTCAAACTTAAAACATTAATTTTCCATTAGAATATGGTGGAACAAATCTGGTTGATGTGAGCTGGCGCTAGTCTCAGTCAGGTGCTGAAATTGTAAGTGATCTCTTATCTACGGGAGAAAGCTTTGGCCTAAATATTTGATGGTTAAACTCCTACATCATTATATTACAAAAAATCTTTAGGTCTATCTTAGAGGTACAAGAACTTTTTTCAAAATGCAGTTGCAGAGAGTTGGCAGAAATATGTATAGCACCTATCCTGGACTTGTACTTTATATAGTTTAAGAATGGAAGGTTTGTCGAAATTTCAATATCGAATTTTAAAACTCATGGGATCTTATCTACTTCTTGGAAATCTGAATTTTTCATTTATTTAAGCGAGTTTCGTTCCTTAAACAATTTTCCCATAAAATAGCAATGTAGCTGCAGGATGAATCACACACATCCATCATGTTTTTTAATAATTGGAGAGTGAAAGTTAAACGGATTTTTGCTTTATTGTGGTCTCAGTCGAGATGATCCCCGATGATTACTGGTGTCTAACCCGTTCGCGTATTGCTTACTAGCTATAATCAAATGGAAATTCTGAGGGTTTTGAATGCTAGAATTTCAGTCAAGACGTCTGTACTCGTATCTGGTCTTGGTCCTACAGTACGTGGTTCCTCTCACTGTACTCATCATTACATATACATTTATTGGAATGAGGATGTGGAACAGTCGCATTCCCGGACCCACTAGTTCAACGAAGAAGGTTGTGATGGAAAGGCATGAAAGTGTCAAAAAGGTAAGCTAAATTTCTCACGTCAATTAATGGCATCCTCGATCGCGTTCTTCAGTTAATTCCTATGGTAATTCTTATCTCTGCTATGTTTGCCATCTGCTGGCTACCTCTCCTGCTTCTCATTAACGTTATAGTTGATTTGTGGCCTAGCGTAGCTAGTTGGAAGTACATCCTTTACATATGGTTAGTGCATTTATCCTCTTTTTTCATTATTATACAATGCAATCATTTACAAAATCAAATCTATTTTGAGGTGGTTCTCGCACGGATTGGCAATGATGCACTCTATGGTTAACCCCATCGTTTATTTTTTGAGAAATGCACGCTTTCGAGAAGGATTCTGCTACTTTTCACGGTTCTTACCGTGTGTGCATTTTCAGGAGTTCAAGCTTCTTAGCGAACAAGCGAAAAGGTGAGCTTCATCTTTATTACAAAATGAAGAAGAACTGCGACTATTTTAAAAACTGAATTTAGCACGCGGTCCCGATCTGGAACTATCAATCCCGGCTCTTTGGTATGATTTTCGATATTCTTTCATTTAACCTTGGCATCGCCCACTCTGCTCTTGCTTTCATCTATACGAAGTCTATTGCTTTTCTTATGTTTGTCACGGTTTGCAAATTAAGCAATGGATTATTTCACGCTAGAAATGAGCTGGATAAAATTACTCTGCTTTTGCTTTTTAAACTTCTACTAGGTACAGAAGAGCTAGCAAAGGTACCAAACCTAATTCGTGGCTGAAGTAGACCATTTGGAAGACGTATATATTCTGTTACATGAAAGATAGTTGGCAAGTTCACTTGGGTCTTAGAGATATCACATTACGGGGATCATTTAGCTAATCCTTATGAGTAGTTAATGTTTGTTTTGGGGTCTAGAGGTTATAAACAAAGTTGCATAATCAAAGAAAAATGTAAACAAAATGCTTATGGGCAGTTACTGGGGGCTTTCTCTATTTTATATCCCCAGCACGACCTCTAATTGTACGTGAAACAACGTATATGACATAAAAATGCGTAGCACTTCAAGCGATTTAGTGGATCTATTAGGATACACAGCAGAGGAATCTAACGTTTTACAAACAAAAGCAGAATTACTTATTGTGCGACAAAAGCTCTCTTACCTGAGCATTACACATAGCAACAAAAACACAAAAGCTTTTTTTTTCAGAATTCGCGTTGTGTACCGAGCGAATATGGTGGCATGTCCTCTCATGCCCGACTTTCCAATCAAGCACGACCTCTGATTGTACGTCAAACAACGATTATATGAGAAATTAAGGAATTTCGGATCTGATCTTCGTAGAGGACATTTTGTTTCTTCGAACTGTATGATCGCAAGTGGAATTCCAATTTGCACAGATGTTTTCAGTGTAACTGGAGTATCACTGATATTGATTTTGCTGAGTTTGTTTCATAAGTCAGAACAGGGCTGTATACTGTTGCTCACTGCTGATTTGCTTTGCTATCACACTTTGAAGGAAATAAACGCCTTTTTCTTCTTACAGTTAACATCTTCCACAGAGAATTTGGCTCTGCTTCCGCTTCTACGTTCCCCTTCACTGCTGCGGTGCATTGTAATTTCTAATGTGAATTGAACAATTGGCAGGCCTCAGCACGAGGTCTCCGATTGGACCTTACAAGAACGAATTCTCGCTTGAAAATTCAGGACAACACGAAGCCTTCTTTGTAACCTGTACAGACACGTGCAATCAGGACAAGCAGTGCAATGGGGTATACTTGGAGCGCGTTTTCTTTAAGGTAATACGATTTAGTGCCCTAGCAAGGAAGGGGGAAAGTGCTTTGATCTGGTTATTGCGCTGCAAGTTGGGTCAAAGGATGCACAAAAAGTGTTTGCTATGATCAACGCAAAATTATGAGGAACAAAAAAAGTGTTTGCTAATCGGAGACCTGAGGTCTCCCGTAGGTCTCCGCCGCAGACCTAAATCACAAAAA